AGGACGGACGACGACTGACCGACGACGACGACGACGACGAAGATGACGATACGCTGACGACGCTGAGGCCGATGATGATGATGAGTGATTGATGATGATGATGATGAATGATGATGATGATGATGATAACGACGATGCTGATGATGATGATGATGATGATGATGATAATGAAGATGCTGATAATGATGATGATGATGATATATGATGGCGATGATAACGATTATGATTATCCTTCTATTATTGTTGTTTCTGCATGTGCTGCTGCTGCTGTTGTTGTTGATGTTGTTGTTGTTGCTGTTGTTGTTGTTGTTGTTGTCGTTGTTGTGCAAATTAAAAATTAATTATATACGCATATATGTTATTGTCCATGGGTTGTAATATTGTATCAGGTCTAATTGCGGGTAGGTGCTTTACGGCGTAGCTTTCGCTTTTCTATTGTAATGAAATGATTGCCTACAAAGGCCTAGGTTGATCGATTTAGTTCATGCAATATATGTAGAGGGACACTCGATCGCCAGCCGTCCGAGAACTTGTTGAACTCGTCCGTTGAATCTTGCATACCGATGCATATTGGACGCAGGGGAAGCATTGACAAATAAAAGTAAGGGGGCACACTGTATAACTGCATTACGGAGTAACTCGTAAACGTTTTATGCTGCATGCTTTTGTATTCAAGCTTTAACTGCTTGAATTATGCCGTAATCTTAATTAATAACAACATATGGCAGATAAATGGGCATATATAGGCCTACATGCTAGCGCTAGAACATTTTAAAACGGATATATTTCTCATTAGAGTGAGTGTCTTCCATCGGTAGAATAACCCGACGAGAAGCCATATCTGTGAAGAATTTGCAGTCGTTTTTTGTCGGTTGTAGTCACAGAAATAATATAGATAGTAATACCAGGGCCGTAGGCTGAGCAAATTCCTAGAGGGGGGGGGGACAAAATTCCATGACTCAAGTGAGTATACTGTGTAACGGGCGCAGCTCTTGATCGACGCCCATAATGTGGTAGAAGTGCGTCCGAGACAAGGGTTTCACGGATGAGTGATCAAAAAATCACGTTAGGGTTCATTAAATAAGTTCATTCGGTTGGTAAATAATATATCTATCTTGGTTAATTTTTACACAACCGTGTTGATTCAAAACGTACTGCTGACGTTTCGCCTCCTATCAGGAGGTTTCTCAAAGCTGACTGAAGTTATCAGATTTGACCACGAGATGGTGTAGTGGTCAACAGCTTGGTCCACACGTGACTGGGTCTCAGCTCCGGACCACGTAGCGACCGCCAATCACACCATCGATTAGGATAATTAGAAGATTATCGATCGCGAGCCAATCAAAATCAGGCGCTGGATTAAGGAAGCCATGCATCTGGATTCGCAAGACCCCGAACATCAACTGTGACGAGGGGAGATACAGACTCAGTCACGTGTGGACCAAGCTGTTGACCACTACACCAGCTGGTGGTCAAAACTGATAACTTCAGTCAGCTTTGTGAATGCCTCCTGATAGGAGGCGATCGAAGCGTCAGCAGTACGTTTTGAATCAACACATAAATATAACAAAACCAAAACAAAATAATAAAAAAATAAAATAAAATAAAAAAAGTAAAAAAATAACCAAGACAGATCGAACCACGTTAGGGTTATTTACGATTATTAGCGAAGCTTATTTTGTTAAATTTTGCTCCAAAATCTAGGGGCAGCTGCCCCCTTGCCCCCCCCCACAGGCTACGGCCCTGAATCTATAATAGGTCTCTATATATTTCTATGGTTGTTGTAGTCACAGTAACATCTGAAACAGCAGGATGGTGGGCTGCTATATTATCAGGAG